CATCCTTTGGCTTTACAGTAGTTCCATCTGGTCAGCATTCGTGTCTATTCCTTTTGTCATCGACTTTCACCATATTGTAGAGGTTTAATTTTGATATGATTTTATTGCAGACACTACGCCGTTCGATTTTGATGCTTACGAAACGAAAAAATTCGAACCTAGTGGCTGGGAACTTGCACTGGCTTCTACTCCCAGCACCAATTTATCAACCGTTCAGGAGAGGCAATTGGTATATATGTGTTTGTGTGTGTGTGTGTGTGTGTGTGTGTTGAAACTTGTAGTACTAATCTACAAACACCCGTAAAGTGAGAAGTAAAATATCAAGGGGGGTATTTGCAATTTAAGAAGTTAGCTGGATTGTATTCGTAGTTTTGCTTAACGGGACATTCTTGATTTGCAGGGCGGTGGATTGGATTCACTTATACTCGACAGTTTGTACGATGATGGTGCGTATAGAGGAGCATCAAAACAACCTGCTCCCAATCCGTTTGAAGTGAACGATCCATTTGCTGCAGTTCCTAATCCTCCACTTGCTGCAGTTCCTAACCCTCCAACGGGTCAAACCAACAACCCGTTTGGACCATTTGAACCCGTTTACCCACAGCCTGAACAGCTGCAGCAACAATCGTTCGTTAGCCCGCAAAATCCTTTTGGTGACACAGGTTTCGAAACATTTCCACCCCCCGCCCCTGTTTCCACCCCTGTTTTTACCCCCGCCCCTGTTTCCACCCCTGTTTTTACCCCTGCCCCTCCTCCTGCCTTTGCTCAAACACACGCAATGAATCCATTTGGGAGCACAGGGATTGTATAATAATAAAGATGCGTATATATATATATACAGAATGTAATGTACTCGGCGAATAGATGATTTTATCGGTATAGTTCTTGAAATGAGTGGCAGTGCTACTATTGCGTAGTCTTCCTCTAAGCATAGTAGTGCTTGTCTTGAGTTTTTGTAAAGATATTTCAGTGGTTTAGTAAATCTATTTCTTTGTTTATATGATATGATGATAATTTTTTTTTTCTATTTTCAATTTTATTTTTTTGGAAAATGAAAATTATATGTATTACAGAGAAGATATATGTATGGGCCGGGCCGGGCCGGGCTGGGCCGTACCCCTTTGATTTTCATACCCACTTATTTGCTAAACAGGGACCAATTTTTTTGGCCCCCTACTTTTACTATCGACCGACCTAAGTTGAAAATCCGCCCCCCATCGCATGATTTTCACATTTATGTAAATTAACTATATTACGTAAATTTATCCCAAAAAAATCAATATTAGGTGATGCATAATTAGGGATTTCATACTCAATTCATGTTAAAAGGACAAAAAAATTAATAATTATATTAGTACATGTCATGTCTGTAGATTGAGTATATTAGAAAGAAAGAAAATCTATAATTCTTGATGTTGTTTGATATATATTATATTATTTGTTATTAATAACATCATCAATAATTTAAGATAATATTTTGTGAAGAGAAACTCAATATGAAACATGTGATTCCATGATAGAGAATTTGAACTGCTTTAATTTTGTTTTCCGCAGCTGCATCAAATCATCATACTCATTGCATTTTATCTGACTTCACCCAAAAAAAAAAAAATTGTATAAACTATTAATTAAAGAAATAATTAAATATTAATTAGAGTTGGGTGATGTCTCTTTCCAGCCAATAGATCATAATTAATAACTGATTGGGTCCTATCTTAGTATTAAATATTCAGACAAAGGTAATAGGTATAAAGGAAAAACATGCTTCACTCACTACAATTTGCCCAACTCTAGATTTTGGTACAAATTAGCTCTCTTATTTGATTAATTGGACAATTTAGTAAATTCTAAAATAGAAGAATGTATTTTGGATGTAAGAATTGTTAATTAGGACTTTTTGGTATTTTCTCCTAATTTTATTCGGTCTACTAATTTATTATTGCAGTTTGGTAGGGGGGCAAAAACAACAAAGATGCTCTCTTTTCTTTTCCTATTATGGTTAAATACAAATTACACCCATTTACACTAATGTCGCATATACCTCTTTACTATGAAATACGACAATGTGAACTCCGCCGTTAAATATGTTAAAGAATCCGTCAATTTTCAAAGTTAACTGACCATTGCATTAGATGTTGGACAATTTCAAACGAAAATACCCTTATAAATGTGTATAAAAAGTGTACATCTTTCTTTCTTTCGTGTATTCAATTTACTCTCAGTTTTTTTTTAATTTAATCCATAAAATTACGGACACATAATATTTTATTACATCAAAAATGGGAAAAAGGGAAAATTAAAAAAATAAAAATAAAAAAAAATAAAAGGTAGACACATATGATGAGGTCCAACATCTGCATCCTTTTGTGGGCCCCCATCTGGCTTTTGGGTATGGCCCATCAATACCATTTTCTTGTTCAGTGGGCCCCATCATTTTGATGCCCCGTGAAGATAAATAAATAAATCAATACGATTTTCGCAAAGCAAAAGGCGTTTTGGATCCAAAGTTGACAACACCACCCATCCGATTTTATTTTATTTTTAATTTTTTTGGGGGGTCGGCGCCCCCCCCCTAATAATGTAGTTGCCAAAAATAATTCACTTATATAAGAAATTCAAGATTTGGAGGAGAGCGTGTTGTTAATGACAATAGCATGAATTAGAACGTTAAAAATCCATTATATATTTATTGGAGCTTGATTTGATTATTAATTGAATTCAATTTCAACAATCTTTAATATATATTATATGGCAATCGTTTGATCATTGTACATTTTTTAGTCGATCATTTAATATTTCACTAAATTAATAAAATTTTATTAGTAACAATACTAATTTATAAAGCGCATATTATATTAAAGGGTACATAACGGCCACTTTCATGAGATAAGGTCAAATTATGAAAAAACCCCTCATATTTAGGTAATTACAACCATCCCTTGATTATAAATCTTCTTACACGTCCACTCTTGAGGTTTCAAATTTAGTGAAATTTTCTAGATTATATTTCTCGAATTTGTACCCGTTTTATCTCATTTGAGCTCTACATTTTAAAACAAGATGATCGTAAAATGCGTCTCTTGGCTTGTAAATTTCAGATTGTGGTGCATCAAAAACTGTATTTTTGCAAAAAAACGGGTACAAACTAGAGAACATTCCACGGAATCTAGAAGATTATGTTAAATTTGACACCATAAGAGTGGACATGTACGATGATTCACAGTTGAGGGGTTATTTGTAATTATCCAAACAAGAGGGAGTTTTTTTTTGTAATTTGACTTTAGCTCAAGGGGATGACCGTAATTTACCCTATATAGAAAATGAAATAAGAAAAAAAAAAAAAATGATTGTGTGATGAAAGTTCGTCAAATGTCTGAACGCTCCGTTTGCTTTGTTAAACATTCTTTAATCTTTAATCCTCTCTCACTTAATTCTTCTTTTTTCTAAAGTTGTCTTCTTTGGCTGTCTGCTCCTTCTTCAAACCGACCGCCCGCCCTCTCTCTCTCTCTTCTACCTTCCGATTCTCTCTCCTCTTTCTCTCTCTAAACCAGTTCATATTCTGCTGCTTACCCATTTCTCAACAATTCTCGTTTTAAAATACATACGAATACAATCACCCCCTTGTTTCTGTTTCGTCATCTCTACACAATAACGACGCCCACCAGGTGTTTGAAACATGGCCGCAAACAGATTCGCCACCATGTTGCACAGAAACACCAACAAGATTACGCTGGTTCTCACCTACGCAGTTCTCGAGTGGATTCTGATATCCCTCCTCCTCTTAAATTCCCTATTCTCTTACCTGATCGTCAAATTCGCCGAGTTTTTCGGGCTCAAACCGCCATGCCCGTGGTGTACGAGAGTCGATCATATCATTGATCCAGCCAAAGGGAACAAGAACATGCACAGAGATCTCCTCTGCGAAGTTCATTCCAAGGAGATCTCCAGATTGGGGTACTGTTCGAATCATCAAAACTTGGTCGATTCTCAAAACCTGTGTGAGGATTGCTTGTCCTCAGTCCCGGATTATACGGAAAAATTGAAGAATTTCGCTTTGTTTCCATGTACGAAGGGATTCGGAGTGATTCAGAGTGATAAAGAGAAGGTTGGTGAGAATGGGGAGGTGAGTTTGAACTGTTTGAACTGCTCTTGTTGTGGGGTGAGCTTGGATTGTGATAAATATTCGTCTTATATACTGCTCAAAACTTCATCTTGGGATGTTTTGGAATGTGCCCAGAAAGACAATTACTTGATTAATGATTCTGATGAGAAGCTGTCAGATTTCGCTGAGGGAGAAAACGAAACGAAAGGGGATGAGGTGGATTTGTGTTTGGAGGAAGAAAAGGGAACATTGATTGAGGAGAACTCGACTTTGATCATGAAAGATAAGTCTGTTCAAGTGTGTGTCGAAGAAGATGCTGCTGCTCCTGTCGAAATTTTCTCCGAGCAGCATCTGGAATTTTTTCTGGACTATAGTGGCAATAGATTGGTTCCGATTGAACTGATTGATTCGGTGACTGAAGAACATAAGAGTGAGGGGAGTGTTAAGGTGGAAGATGAAGATAAGAACTTGGATCGCGAATTCAGACAAGATTCGGAAGTTCAGTTTGAAGAAAAAGAGGAATTGTTTGTGGTGGGTAGGAGCGGAATGGAGAAATTTGACACGTTTATTGATGTTGATATCAATGAGGAACCTAAATACACCATGTTGGAGTCCATGGAAATTGAAGAGGATGAAAATTCTCTGGTTTTTCATGCAAACCACTGTCGTTTGATGACGGGCGAGTTTGCAGATTTTCGAGCTTTCCCTTTAGCCAGGTGGCCTTCTCAAGAGGCAACTGATGTTCAAGAAATGGCAGGCTCGTCGTTGGAAATGCATTTAGATGTTCATACAGGTATATATATATATATATATATATATATATATATATATATATATATATATATATATATATATATATATATATATATATATATATATATATATATATATATATATATATATATATATATATAATTATTTCTTCAAGAATTATATCATGAGTGAGAGAGAAAAAAAAAACTATAACAATGCTTTTTATATAGATAATGTAGCATGTGAAGAAGAAGAAGTTGCTCAGGCAAACAATGAAAATGAAGCAGATGTCTCGATTGGAACAGAAATCCCCGATTTAGATATAACAGATGAAATGCAAATACAAGATTCTGTTCATGCGTATGATTACATTCATGAAGATCCTTCAACAAATCCTCACAGAGTATCTGATCATGGTAATTTCCGGATTCTTAACTATTATACACCTTCGAATTCAGTTCCTTGTTGCACTATGATTAAATCCAACGATTTTTTTTTTTAGATACTTCGCAATTTGAGGAACATATGAAAGAATTACAGTCCTTATCAGTTCAAAATAGGGACGATCATATAACAAACAACCATTCATCGTTCCATTTGGAGATAAACGAGCCTGAAGAAGACAAGGTCCCCGATACACCTACATCTACTGACAGCTTTAGTCAGTTGCACAAGAAATTGCTACTGCTCGAGAAAAGGGATTCAGGGGCAGAAGAGTCATTAGACGGAAGTGTAACGAGCGAATTGGAAGGCAGCGAAGGAGTTGTAACCGTCGAAGGGTTGAAATCAGCACTAAGATCAGAGCGAAAAGCGTTGCAGGCACTGTATTCCGAGTTAGAAGAGGAGAGAAGTGCTTCTGCTGTGGCGGCTAACCAAACAATGGCAATGATAAATCGGCTCCAAGAAGAGAAGGCGGCAATGCAGATGGAGGCTTTGCAGTATCAGAGAATGATGGAGGAACAGTCTGAATACGATCAAGAAGCTTTGCAGCTTTTGAACGAACTAATGGTGAAGAGAGAGAGGGAAAAACAAGAACTGGAAAAGGAGATGGAAATTTATAGGAAGAAGCTTTTCGATTACGAGACGAAGGAAAAGATTAGGGTTTTGAGAAGAAGCAAAGATGGGAGTACAAGAAGCGGGTTTTCATCGGACAGTGATGGATTGTCTATTGATCTAAATCATGAATCGAAGGAAGAAGACGGGTTTTATAGCAATCTTAATACTCCTGTTGATGATGTCATCAACTTGGAAGAATCTTTAGCTGATTTCGAGGAAGAGAGGATGTCGATTCTCGACCAGCTGAAGGTTCTAGAAGAAAAGCTTTCGACTTTGGATGACGAAAATGCTAAAACCAACGGTGAAGCAAATGGGCATGAAAATGGATTTTCGAATCATCATCAAAAGAGAAGAATTGCTGGTCTGCAGAAGGGAAAATCGCTTCTTCCGCTTTTCGATGCGATATTTGAAGAAAACGGAGATACGATGAACGAGAACGGGAACGGGAACGGAAACGAAAACGAAAATGGGTTCGATTCTTATGAATCGAATTTCGAAATGGAGGAAAACAAGAAGCTCGCAATTGAAGCGGAAATCGATCATCTTTATGAAAGGCTACAAGCACTCGAGGCAGATAGAGAGTTTCTTAAGCACTGCATTAGCTCTCTAAAGAAAGGCGACAAGGGAATGGATCTTCTCCAAGAGATCCTGCAACATTTGCGCGATCTCCGAAATGTGGAGGCTCGATCGAGAAACTTAGGGGACAGTGCTTAACGAAGATTAATATCGGTAATTATTTCAAAAAAAAATTGTCACTTTACTTGGATTACATTGTTTCTGATATCCCTTTTGTTAATGCAGATTCCATTTTCAAGAAAAGGTCTTATTTTGGGGGTATTATTGGCAGACAAGAAGTTGAAGTCTGCTCAACTTTTGTTTATTATTTCCTAGTATTTTTGTCCTAGCATGCCCAAATTTTTGTGGGTATGTTTCTATTTGTCTACCCCCTTTTTTTAAGGTAAAAAGGGGGGTGATGAATGTATGTGTGTGTAGTCTAGTGGGCAGAAGTAGTTAGCCACTCTGTCATTTTCTATGTTTTGTGTGTAAAAAAAAAAAGAAAAAAGAAAAAGAAAAAAAAAGAATGGATAAATCCAACAAAGATTCCATTTTTTCCAGGTTAGAATTATAGCTTATCAGGTATTTTTAGGGTTAGAACATTTTTTTTTTAAATTTCATTTTTTGTTTTTTTGAAGGGTAATAGGAAAAAGGGGGGTAAGTAACTTTCTTTTTTCCAGTCTTATAATTGAGAGTTTGTTTATTATGTTGGAAGGCTAAGTTGGTCTAGTTGTATACTACATGTATCCATCTGTAAGTATTTATGAAAATTGAGTGTGTTTTGTATAATGTTTCTTTTTGCTGTCAATTTTTTTATTTTTTATTTTTTATTTTTATATATATTTAGCAGAGCTGTCAAGTTTATACAAATGACCTATGAGTCTATGACCATGTTTGATGTTTGTTATTTATGTCAATGTAGTGAAAGTCAATTAAAAAATTAAGTAAAAGATTGCTTTCACAATGAATTGTGCTTTAAGCATAAACAAACCTTGTTCTTTTAGGTAGATATGTCATATTATGTACTTTAGTTGCTCAATTAGAGCTCAATTACACAAAGCTAACATAATACTTTACTGCTAATGACAAGTGCTTAACATTATAATAAAAATGTACTTAATAATCAATTTTTAATTTTTTTGGTAATGAGCCGCAAGTAAGCACCCATATATGTACACTGGATAAACATACACTCGTAAACTACACTAGGCTAACCATGTGTGGCAAGTTCGATAACAAGAACCTGAGTTAATTGACACGTGTTAACTTGATCCACCCGTCAGGTCAGCCCTTGTGGGACACTACTTTGTAATCATTTGAGTACAACAATGCAGTATATTAAATTCATTTTAATACATGTACTTTAGTCACGAAACTTGTTCTTGTCATGATTAACGAATATTTTGTAAGGTGAAAGAAATGATTACCGAATATTCTTTATTTTCTTCTTATTTATATAGCTGAGCTCAGTTCCGAGCACGAGCTGGTTTATGATATTGCTTAGCATGTTCAAATCTAATAGTGCAAAAGTTCAAGTAATGTTATATAAAATGAATTAGGGTTTGTTGTCAACGAGTCGAACTCGCCTGTTTTGGCAGGCACAAGCTCGAGCTCGTCGAGTTTTTTTTTTTTTTTTTTGACTTTTAATTTTTTATTATTAAAAATAAGTTTGATTATAAATTTTTTTTTACAAAATAAATCTGTAATTATGTATATATATATATATATATATATATATATATATATATATATATATATATATATATATATATATATTTAATATTTATATTATTTATTTCTATTATATTTTATATTATTATACATTATTTAAATAAAAAAAAAAAAAAAAAAATAATAAGGCTCGCGAGCCGGCTCGTGAGTTGAAGAACAACTAAAAAATAGCTCGAGCTCGACTCGTTAGAAAGCTCAAGCTCGAAAAACTTGAGTTCGAATTCGAGCTTTTCTCGAACCGGCTCATCTAACTTACGAGTCGGCTTAGCTCGTTCACCACCCCTAAACCTAAAATGAATGTATAGAGAGAGAGAATTTTCTGATACTCTCCATTTCTGAAAATCAAAACAGAGTACAAAAGGAACGCTCGTGTGTGGGAATATTTCACTACAAATAGGCTAATACAATAATACATAGAGGACACGCTTCCATTAATAACAAAATAGAAATTACATAAAATAAAAGCCTCACCAAGTATTGCAATTGGGCCGGGTTCATTTAATCGAGACCGAGCCCAATCTCTTCATTCATCTAAACGACACCGCATCACTCCAAATCAGCCTCCGCTAAAACGCCGTCGTTTCAAGCTGTATCCAATTGAACTTCCTCCTCCAATCATTCCCCAATACTGTTTTGTAAGCATTATCTATCTCCATATCTCCATCCAATCTTCCAAATAATAATGTAGGCCACGTATTAATATCTAATAATTGTAATTCACAATATAAATTTTTTGTAAGTTAATCTAAATATGACGTCATTCCAGATTACGTCATAAAAACTGATTTTTTGGATCTTTCAAATAAAATCCTTATGAGCCACTTGTCACACCGTCATTGGTTAGTTAAGGGTACTATTCCAAATTTATATCTGTACTAGATTTTAACAATTTTGGTATTTGACCTAATAAAATAAATCTTGTTAACTACTATAATACAAGTTAATAAGTATTACAACATAAAATCAAATAGTAATTAACAGCATGATTTTTTATGTTATTTTTATTTTTTCTGTACACTAAAATCTAAAAAATTGAGAATTATATTATATAAAATGGGATTATTGTTTATTGTTTGTCTAGTTAATAAAAGTCCTTCGGCAACGGTGGACATTTCACACGTGCAAGGAATTATTCAGTAGGATTATATTTATAAAATTCGTAGCACATTATAATATTAATAACAAAATATTTGTGTTTGACTTCCGTTATATAAAGCTTTCATAGTACGTAAACCAAAGGTGACATTTAAAAAAAATGTTTATGAATATACATATATATTATAAATTATATATGTAGATGTTATTTATTGTCTTTATATACTGTGCTCATATGTTTAATAATTTAGTTTTATATAAAAATAAAAAGTAAATATTGTTAATTGAAAAAACAAAGAAAGATAATAAGTGAGTGTAACACATAAGATAAGTGAACTTACGAACCGTGGCGTGAAACCAGAGGCGAGTGCTTATGGATAAACTCAAGTCAACCCTTAATCGAAAAAATTCTCAATATACCTATATATTTATTAAGTTCACCTAAATTTTTATTATTTAGTTAAGTCGAAATCCAAATTGACGCAAAAAAAAATGAAAAAAATCATAAGTTTCTTTTTTTCTATTTTCTGGTTTTTGTCAAAAAAAAATTCTAATTTTTTAAGGGCTCGCCCCGAACCTCTGAATTTCGTCATTCTTGAAACAATAATTGATCATATTTATTTACGTTATTTTTAATATATATTTGGTCACCCGATGGATTAAATCATGGCTTCACCACTGTCAATTAGACTGTTCTTACAACGATAGTCGATATTTCTTATTAGGATATAGGTAATTTATAATATTTGAAATTAAACAAGAATATACTCCCTCTGTTCCACAATAACTGTCTCTTTTTAAAATTATTTTTGTTCCATATTATCTGTCACTTTACATTTCCAATACTGCATTAATTGTGTAATTATCAATTTTACCCTTATTACCTATCTCAAACACTCTCTCACATTAATTATTGGCAAGGGCATTTTAGTATAAGAACATATATTTTTCTAAAATTAAGCAACATTTATTGAGATCCTTAATCCTTGTGCACAAGCTAAAAACGACAATTATAAAGGAACGGAGGGAGTAATTTCTTTATTTTTTAAGGGTGCATTTGGATGGAGGGATTTGGGGGAGGGATTTCAAATCCATAATAACAAATCCCTCGGACTTGTTTGGATTGAGGGATTTGGAGATGGATTTCAAATCCCCACCCCTCCTTTTTAGTTGATTTTGGAACAATAGTGATGGATTTCAAATGACTCCAAAATTGGAGTCATTTCAAATCCACTCCCCAAATCAAATCCCTCCCCAAATCCCTCCATCCAAATGGACCCTAAAATTAAACTACAAAAAACTAAAAATGAGAACCGTCTTCTTTGTAATAACAATTCTTTGATAGAAAAGTCAAAGTCAACGCGCCTCTCCAGTCTGTGTTGTTATCAAAACGCTGTCACCTGTTTGGTGCAGCAGCTAAATTTCACACGCAATTCATAAGAACTCTTCTTCAGATTACAACGGCAAAAACATTTCATTCATATTACTAATTAATAATCCCCAGAAAAAAAAAAAAAAAAAATTCTCGACGGAAAATGGTAGCAGTTGGAGATGAGTAAATCGAAAAGCTTCCTCCATAATCTTATCAAGCCCTTCAAATCCCACTCAACACCAGGTCAGTAAATTTTAATTTTTTTTAATAATTTTTTTTTTTTTTTTTTCTGGGCGGAAGCAAATCTGTGTAAATTTCTGCAATATCTGATGGAATTTGGTATCTGTGTGTCCTTTAAAGACGAAAACGAAGTGGATTTGCAGACAATTGCAGCAAAAGAGCAGAGGAGTTTCTCTTTTCAAACCCTAGTTGCGGCGACCAAGAATTTTCACCCTTCTCATAAGCTTGGTGAAGGGGGTTTTGGTCCAGTTTTTCGGGTAATCAAACAATTAATACTTAGTTTTATTTAATTTTTCTCTGTGTGTGTGAATTGGGCTGGATGGAATTTGTAATTTAGTAAAAAAATTGATTTAGGGTTTTTTGTTTTAGGGAAAATTGGATGATGGGAGAGAAGTAGCTGTGAAGAGGTTGTCGCAGAGATCGTCTCAGGGGAAGCAAGAGTTTCAGAATGAGGCAAAGCTTTTGGCGCGTGTGCAGCACAAAAATGTGGTGAATTTGCTTGGTTACTGTTTGCATGGTGAATTTGAAAAGCTTCTTGTTTATGAGTATGTGCCTAATCAGAGCCTTGACAAGCTTCTTTTCAGTAAGTTTTCTTGTTATTTATTTATTTTATTTTTTATTTCGATTTTGTATTGCTTTCTATCATGGGCTAATGATGCATAATGCAAGGTTCGATAATGTGTTAATGCAAAATTCAGCATCGTAGACGGTTAGGATTAGATTGGAATCTTCACAAATCAAAGGTTTACATCTTTATTTATGTTTACTAGTGCAACACTTCAATATTGTGCTGCTATATTCTGCGTTAAGTAAACCTTAGATGTGATAGCAATTTACTTTCATCTGCCTGTAAGAGATTTGATTACCCACGTGCATAACTGTGAGTGTTTTTATAAATTTGTAACTTTGGGTAGAATGGTAATTTTTTAAGGCCTCGTTTGGTTGCCAAGGTAAGATTAGTCGATAAATAATCTAATGAAAGCCCAATTGTATTATTGGATAAAATAGTATTTTCCGGGTCGACCCGGAAGATATTGGGTAATCTCCCAAAACATCAAATAAAGTCCAATTATTTAGTTTATGATGTCTAATCTTCCCCCTAACCAAATGAGGCCTTAGTAATATTACAACATGGAAGTGAGATTACAAGTTATATATACTGACATTACATAAAATATCTTTCTTGCTTTAGAATCCGATACACGAGAGTTACTCGACTGGAAACGGAGGCTTGACGTGATAACAGGCACAGCAAAGGGATTGCTTTATCTTCACGAAGATGCTCCGTGTTCCATCATACACCGTGACATCAAAGCCAGCAATATCTTACTAGATGACAAATGGGTGGCCAAGATTGCCGATTTCGGACTGGCCCGTCTCTTTCCCGAAGATCAAACGCATGTCCAAACACGTATAGCTGGCACTAAGTACGTGTTTTCTTGCATTCTAATATTTTTTTGAGGTTGTCTCTTTGTTGTTTGAGTTGGATTAACAAATATCCAAACTTATTTCTGCGTGCCTAAATGCTTCCAAAAGAATTTGTCGCTTTAGAATTCCAATACTGGATTGGTTACCTAATTTTCAATTCTACCCTTACACTCTCTCTTCTCGACTTATTAGTGAACAATATTATTTTAGTCTAAACATGTACATTTCCCTAAAACCAAGCCATAAATATTGAGTTTCTTAATATTGCAGTGGTTATATGGCACCGGAGTATCTCATGCTTGGGAATCTTTCTAAAAAAGCGGATGTCTTCAGCTTTGGAGTAGTTGTTCTTGAGCTAATTAGCGGACAGAAGAACTCGGCTTTCAACCGAGACCCTGATTGTCAGAGCTTACTTGAATGGGTAAATAAAAACTTTGATATTTGACATTCTTTATGATCAAGAATCTAGTTTAACGCATCAGAAACTTGTTTTAATCGTAAATAACAACTCCCGAAAATTTCTGATTTTGGAACAATATTTTTCATTCCATATTCCGAAAGTTCCAATTTTGTTTGGAACAGAATTGGAATATTATTAGATTCTGATTTCTAATCCGATTTTAATTTTCAAGAAGTCCGACTTGTTTCCAAAAATTACACTTGTAATATCAATATTATTATGTATTTTGTACTATAACTTCCGTGACCAGAAAAAAATGGAGTTTCCGAATTTCGCATTATGATCCTTAAAGTTCCGATTTTGGAACAAATGTTTTGATTCCAATTTCCGATAATCCCATTTTTTTTGGAACAAAAATAAAATTAGTTTTCCACTTCCCAAAAAAAAAAATCGTTTTTTCCTAAAGTGCTAATTCCGATCTGATCTGTCCGATTTTGTCTTGCCATGTGCGTAGTAAGACAAATACAATCTATATACATTCGTAAACCTTTTTTTAGTGTAAAAAACATCACTTCATATATTAAAAAAAGTTCCACCATGTTCTATATCCAGGCATATAAGTTATACAAGAAACGCAGAACCTTGGAAATCATGGATCCCTCATTGCTGGCATCAGCAGACAGAGAGCAGATAGCAATGTGTGTGCAGATAGGTTTACTCTGCGTCCAAACAGAATCGCATCTACGGCCAGACATGGATCGTGTGGTTGCGATCCTCTCGAGAAAACCGAGCAATCTCGAGGAGCCCACCAGGCCAGGTTGTCCTGGATCGAGGTACAAAAGACATCACCGCCCTAAGTCTTCTACCGGCGGTGCTGCCACGTCATCAGTTACTGGAACTTCTGACGTGTCGAGTTCTGGTTCGTTTGGGTCCACCACAGGTACGCAAACCGCCACGTCATCTGGAACTCGATCGAGCTATACGGGCCCACGTGTTGATGGCCCGCCACGTGGAAAGCGTCCTACCGTGAAAGATTAAGGGCATTTCGTTAATTAATATGTGGCGGGTGAATATAATATTTTTTTGTACATATGATGTAGTTGTGGTTGCGGGTATTTTTTGTTTGTTGATAGATTTTGGTGCGAGGGGGTGATATAGATATTGAATGCCTAATTATACGAGCGATTAGCTTAGAAATTCGATTATTGTTGCGCAGTAGAAAGAAGATTGATTTGGAGTAGAGGAACATATGTACTTTTTGGTGTCAAATATGTTGCATTTAAATGTTAATTTTTTTATTTTTCTAATAAATAAAAAAGCCTTTTGAAATTTGAATAATATTTTTCATTTCGAATATTGAAATTTCTGATTTTCATTTCGATAAAAAAGAACTGAACTCCAAGAACAATAAGAACAAGTAATTCATAGTGGTTGAGATCAAGAATTGATCCAACATCCACTTTGAACAACACGAACTCGATCGTTTTATTGATCAATTAACGGAACTCAGGTTCGCTTATAAAAACACATACTCGCAACAAATCACTCTCTCAAGAAACATCACCGAAAACTCTAAATGGGTTTCTCTCTCATAAACTAACTAGCCAACGAGCAGGGGCGGACCCAGTAAGAGACTAGGGTGGCCCCACCCATGCAATTTCGAAATTTATCTATTAGTTTATAGACTTTCGCCTCCCAAAAAAAATATTTGTATACACTTTTAACCCTCCATATTTTTTTTTTCTTAAATCACCCAATATTCTGACCCCGCAAAAGATCATGAGTCCGCCCCTGCTAAGAAGTGGCTTATATGCACTCTAAAAGATGCTAAGGTCCAGCAGCTCTTGTCCACGTGTTACATGTCACCAGAAGTTAGTTAACTCTTCACACTAAAAAAAAAAAAAAAAACTTTTTAGTGACAACACCTATTTTTTATATAATTAGGCAAAAAGTGTTGTTATTATGCTTGTCACTAACGGGATGTCGCTAATGCTCTATAGTGATAATAAATAAGGATTTAGTGACAACAAAAAGAGGTATTAGTGACAATAAAAAGATGTTGTCACTTAATGTGTGTATTAAGTGACAACTTTTGTATTTGTCACAATTGGGGTGTTGCTAATGCAATTTTTTCTTGTAGTGGATCGGTTGTTTTCCAGCTTGTACAGTCAGCTTTCTTCAACCAATCAGATCCGTTCTTGATCCCTTGATACTTCATCAATCCTTTAAAATTAATTAATTAATTCGAGTAAAATTCTATTGTAACAACTATTACAATAGAACCTCGATAAATTAATACTCGATAAATTAATAACCTCGCTTAAATAATAAATTTTCCCGGTCCCGACTCGGGGACAACGTGCTAAATTAATAATTCGCTAAATTTATAAGATAATACACTTTCAAAAATTTTAAGAAGCCCCATATAATATATAAATTAATAATGCATAAAAATAATTCTTAAATTACATGGTACAATACATACTTCACATATCTATGAAGGCTTAGTAAAATATAATTTAATTGTCACTTGTTTCTTGTTGAAGTTCACATTAGCATCAATCTCATCCCTCACTTTTCTTAATATGGTTAGAATTTTTGGTATAGTTATCTCATAACTCAACAGAAAATTGTTCAATGCCATATCTGCTTTAAAAGCTTCCGTTTGCGAAACGGGCTCTATAGTGCACTAAACTAATGGTACAATGAATAATATACACGTAATTTTAAAAAAAAATGTATTATTGAAAATAATAATAAAAGTAATTTCATAAATTAATAAGTTATTAATTAATGTATAAATTAATAATTATTAATTTATCGATAAGTTAATATTTCGCTAAATTAATGAAATTTTGATGGTCACAATTGTATTAATTTATATTAATTACTATCAATCATGAAACAAGTAATTAATAATTAATAAATTAATTCACCAACCATGAGAAGTAAAATGACCTTAGCTTAGCTAGATGTAGGTGTGATACAGTAGTTTTACAACAAATTAATTAAAGCATATTTTTATTTATATATATCTACAAATTAGTCAATTTCTTATATCATAGTTGTGACTCTTGAGCAGCAGCTCTAATTTGACCTTACACAAAAAAAAAAAAAAAAAAAGAAAATGATAATTAATAAAATGTTTATATTCAATATTAAACAACTGGAGGAACAAACCCAAATTCACTTCTAGTTTTATTTCTTAATTTATGATCCAACAATAATTGAACAATAATAAATACAAACAACTTGCACTAACATTAATTATTCCAAACAAAATAACATAACACGCACGCGCGCACACACACAACATGTACGATACTCGAGGTCGAGGATGATGACGTCGATAATTAAACAAACATTTAACGAACATTAACAGCGCACTTTGTGCTTTATTAATACGACCGATTAATTAATATAATCGATAGAACTCTCTAGTTGATTGCGCTGCAAACCCTTCTAATGATTCCAGCGCTTCCGAGGAGGGGCGAAATCTCGGACATTTTAATCATTGCGTTGGCGAAATCAGTCGAAAAAGTTCTAGGGTTTGTGCTGTACTCCGTGACGATGCTAGTTGTGGCACCGGTAAGAAGTATTTGATCCGATTGGAGAAGACCCCTTCGCAGCACAATATTTCTGAAATAATTATTGTCGAACGAGTTAGGTGTCACCAAATCGAGGGGGGCCAGATTCGCGTTACCCCCCGTTTGAGGGCACCCGCGTCTTCTCTCGCTGGCAAAATTGGGATCGATGTCGGTGCCGTTGCTGTATACTCTCGCTCGGAACAAGAAGCATTGAGCTTGACCTAGTGTGTGTGATCCTGCATGCATGCATGCACATGTACATATATTAATCATCGATCAAATTAATTAATGGTGTGTTCATAATATATATATATATATATATATATATATATATATATATATATATATATATATATATATATATATATATATATATATATATATATATATATATATATATATATATATATATATATATATATATATATATATATATATGATATATTTATAATTAACCTACCTGATAGGGCAACCATTTCCCTTGTGTTGAGTCCCTTATTCGCGAAAGACGAGATGAGACCGTTCAGACCGGCAAACGGACTCGGTAGATCGGAGTTTGCCTGCGCGCGGTTCGCTGTTGTCGAGTCTCTTCTTCCTAGCCTCACCGTCCACGATGGACCGCTAACCTGCGAATATATTATATATATATATAGGCTTGAATTTTAATATATATACAAAATTAAACCTCTATAAATTAATACAGTCGGGGCTAGGGAATTTTTTTTAATTTAGCAAATTATTAAATTATTGAGTTAATAGTTTAACATATTTTCACCGAGTTGGGACAAAAAAACCTATTATTTAAGAGAGGTTATTAATTTATCGAGGTTCTACTGTATGTAACACAACGTGAACATGAAAATAAAATCAAGAATTTGATGATTGTTGAAGTGCTAGCTTACGTATACCAATATATATATATGGTTGGCTGCAAGTTACTTCAGTACTGAAAAGAAAAAAAACACGCATGATATATATAAATATATGTACTTACAGCAACAGAGGCTTCTCGTGCAGCTAGGGTTAGTACGTCGGCGCAAGAAACGACGCCGGGGCATGCACGCTCGACGAGAAGTTTGGCCGCTTCGATCACTTCGTACCCTCTGGCGGAGTTCACATTAGGGATAGCGGTTTTCTCGGACTGAATGGTGGGGGTCTCGTCCAATAGGATCGAAGCATCGCAGCCCTGAACGAAGCAGTCGTGGAAGTGGAGCCGAATGAGCGAGGCCGCCATGCGCCTCTCACGTGACACTGCTTGTCGAATTGAGTTTCGGATAATGGTGACCGCAGTAGGGCATGTTCGGTCGTAGAATGTTGCAGACAGCTGTGCTTCGCTTAGTGGAAGTACGACGAAGATGCTGAATAGAAATATCGCCGAGAAAATGTATTTTTTTATCGAAGAAGAAGAAGCCATTATTCGAAAATTTAATTTTGGAAATATAATTAATTAATTAATTAATTAATTATTTGGTTTGGAGGTGAAGAAGAAAGTTGATGGAGAAGAAAGAGGTTTTGCTGCTGTATTTATAGGTGTAATTCTTCAGTCACTGTTCACGGCTGAAGCGCGTTGCGACCACGTATCTTATTTTATTTTTTTATTACAAAAGAATATTGTTTTATATTTAATTTATTTTTTTGTGAAATTTTATTTAGTGCATGGGACTTGGTCTTGGCGTTCTGTTAGCTAGTACTTAGTAGAGTTTTATTTATTTATTTATTTTGCAATATTTAAATGGGTGTTTGTCAAAATAATGGATATAAGTGTGACGTGTGGTAGCTTATGTTTAATAATAGAGAGAATAAAATAAGGAGATTGGTTGAACAACTAATAATTGACTAACATATAGTATTTTATAGTAAGAAAAAAGATTTAAATAAATACTAGATATATGCTAATTAATACATGGCGGTGAATATATATGGTCGAAGGTGCATGGAAATTCGAACTCCATACACTATATTCATGTCTATGTATTTTATAATTTATATTTTGATCTCGTTTGGTTGGCAAAATAAGATAAAATTTAATAATTTAATGAAACTCAATTATTTTATTGAACCTCGGAAGATTCAATAAAAAACATGCCTAAAAGGCAAAATAAGACATGATAATCTAATATTTGCGAATCGACCCGATAAGTTATTGGGGTTACCAAACATCAAACAAAGTCCTATCATTTAGTTAATCATGACTAATCTCCCCAACCAAACGAGATCTTAGTGGATTATATTCTATTGCAATATATAAATTTATACATGTTACGTAACATGTATAAATTTATATATACACCCAAAATGTATGTATTTGAATAATTTTTCTTGAATCAATAGAGAAAAACATCGGGTGTACGTATTTCGACGGAGAATCTGTACAAACTTGTGTCGACGAGAGCCTAAGTCTGAAATTAAAATAAAGTTGAGTCTATATATTTGATAAACCTACAATCTCGTATAATAGTTTGTAAGTTATACGAGAGACGTAAAACACACTAGGAATAACTATGTGGAACAAGCTCGACCTATTGCAAATAGATTCGAACGTGAGCGTAAACTCTACTTACTCCAACCGTGATAGACCATCGCCTGCGGAACAGAACAGTGTTATTCTATTGGAATTTTTTACAAGAAGTCAGTTTGAGTGATTAATCGTAATCTCCTAAACTAAAGAAAGTATTGTATAATTTGGTCAAACTAATTAGAAGATCAAAAAAGTCTTCTTTTTAATTTTTTAATTTTTACTTTTTAGAGAAAAAAAATATTTTTATAAAATCAATAGTTGGTGACGATATTCGAGTTTAAAACGTTTATTCCTGATTTTCCTAGTTTGACTTTGATACCGTTATATTGCTTCTGACAATTTATATATAAATAAATTGTTTTTATTTTTTTGGGAAAAGGTCCAATTATTAATATTCTATAGCAAGATGCTACTCAGGACTAATCCCTATTCCACACATCTAATTGCAAGTGTCAATTCTCTTTGAAAAAATATATAATTGTCAATAGGATTATATAATAATTATGATTTAAAATAATTAAAAATAAAATCTTACGTCCCTTATCTTTTAATTTGTCCCCACGATAACGCGATTTGGTAGCAATACAGTGTTGTTGATTTGATTGGAATTTAAGTACATGTATAGTACAAACTAATTGACATCAATTCATCATAATTAAAAATAAATAAAAAATAATAATTCATAATAATTGCTACAAGTGATAATTTTATAATTTATTTCTTGTAAAATTCGTCGACATTAATTAGCTTAATAGAGACAGTTTATCCTCTACTTGACATGATCTTTTATGCATGGCGAACCCATGACAACATAATATATGCAGGTGCGAAATTTCGATATTTTATTTTTATTTATTTTTTCCTCAAAAAAAATTATAAATAAAATAAAATTGGTGATTGATTCAATATTTTGGGATTTCTTCTTAAAAAAAATATTTCGGGAATTCGGAGCAGAAACGTCCTCTGGTTATTTTTAGGGATATTTAATAGTTTGGGCAAATTACGGCTACGCCTAGCCTAGGTATGGTAGAATTACGAAAAATCCTATCTTGTTTGAGTAATTACAATCACCATCCTCCTTTTAAATATTTTTACACAAAATTTATATAATTCGGTTATTTACCGAACCAAATCGTATATTCAGTACGTTAAACGGTACGAAATGTTGGTTTACCGAAATTTCGGTTCGGTTTTACTGATTTAACACTCTTAAATTTACCTCTGAAGGGGTATTTCAGTTGAATAATACATAGTTGATGGGATGACTGTAATTACCCAAACAATAGGGGGTTTTCATAATTTGACCATAATTCAAAGGTGACGGCCATAATTTGCCCCATGTATAAAGAGAGCAAAACCATTATTAGTTTTAATAATTAGATATAACGTAAAAATTAGTTAAAATTTCATAAATATGAATTTTCAATTGTGTTAATCGATGCACAATCAAATTATTGAGCCAATACTTTCATTTCTCTAAATTAAATAAATCGAGCTCAATTCGAACTCAAACTCTACTATATTCTTCGAATAATTTGAATAAGATAAAAAAAAAGGTCAAATATAAAAAAATATATATTTGAACCCTAAATTTCGACTCTAATAATCAAAATTATGTATAATAATAATCACTTCTGATCCCGGGATGCCGGTGTAAACTTCATTCTCCAATTAGTTACATTAATACCTAAATTTGAAATAACAAATATAATATAATTAAAAAAATTTAATTGTCAATGGTAAGTAGTAAACTAATAAATTTAATTAAAGGATGCATGGTTGTGGAGCTTTGAACAAGAACGTTTCTAAGTCAAAAGAGTTTATTGGCAAGCAACTATTTATATATAGCTAATTAATTACTCCCTCCTTCCCTTATTATTTGTCACTTTTGTTAGTTGCACACATATTAAGAAACTCAATAAATATGCATAGATAGTAGCAAAAAGTATAGTAAATCACTAAAATGCCCATGCCATTAATTGATTTTTAAATAATTAATTATGAGTGAGAAAGGGCAAAATTGAAAAAAATACAATTAATTATTTATTGGAATAGTAAAATGACAAATAATTTGAAATATGAAAAAATGGCAAAAGTGACAAATATTAAGGGAAGGAGGGAGTAGTATGCAAAGCAAAAAAAGTCAAACAATTTGTTAGAATCAATAGTTTAAATAAATAAATCAACACAATTAATTAATATATAATACCATTATAATTAATTTGATTCTATCAAGAACCAGTTGTATTCAAATGCAAGGAAAATTATGACTTTGTTTGACATTTCCTGTTCAAACCTTGAGAGGCAAGTGTCAATTTACACAATATTATAATATTAATTATACTCCTTAATTATTTAATAAGGGTGCAAATTTAAACCGAATGATTTATTTTAATAAAAAATTGGAAGTCATAGGATGATTGACACGTCTATAGTTTAAATAAAAATATAATTAGGATTCTAATAATTGTGAAGAAAAAGAAAAGGAAAAAAAAAACTTCAGCAGAACCCATATCCCAACTAACCCTAATTATAATCCGCGGATTTATTAAAAGTTAAGACTTAAGAGTACACATGTCAAAAAATTAGTGAAATCCAATTTATATTAAACATAGGGTGATCCGCTCAGAATTTAATCTCATTTAATAAATCAACTTTTAAGCTAATTAATTCCAGTAATCATTGTTTGTTAATTATTAGATACACGTAGAGGATCATTGCAAGAAAAAGTCCAAATAGTGACCCATGTTTTATTCAATCTTTTATTTAATTTATACCCTCTAATTATTAAATTATATAATGAAAATATAAATATAATTTATTAAAGTATTCTCATTTCTCAGTACACAAGAAGTTATCCACCAATGGACACGATTAACAATCAACATCACATGCATGATGGATAAAGGTAATTACCATTTGGTTAAATTACGAAACCTCCCCTAAACTTAAACTAAATTACGAAAAATACTCCCACCTATCCATAATTACTAAAATTCTCCCGACTTTTGCTTCTATTTTACACCGACCCCCCTTACAGTGTGATTTTTCATGGAATCTTTTTTCTTCGAAATAATATTTTCCGAAAAATGCCGATTCTACCCCTACAAACGTGACATTTCTTTAATTATGCTATTTTTGAAAGGCAAAAAAAAAAATCAATTAATTTAGTGAGTTTTTTTTTATTACACTTTACTTTACAAAAAATGCCATTGAAAGATGAATTTGCCTCGTTGCCTATTAAAAATGTAACTTATGGTGCAAATTTGAATGGTTTATTGTGATTTGAGGATGCAAAATGCAATTATTTTTCTGATGGTGTAAAGTGACAAAATGCAATATTTTGAGGGTGCAAAGTGGAGTTAAGCATTATTAATTTAACATATAAGCATATATAGTTGGTCTATTTAAGTTTTAACTAAGGGGTTAGAAAGTCAATGGTAGTAAAACTGTCACGCAATTGCTTTGGATTTAAGCTAAAATCAGAGACGACTTTTAACAAATTCAACGCTTTCCTACAAGCTAAGGTCCAATGTCAAACAACCATGCACGCAAGCGCATCTGACAGCTAATTAAGGGACAATTAATTAATAGTTTAACCATTAATTAAGCATCTTTAATATGCCTGGTTCGAAACATAATTTTCATGCATGAAAACTGATTTTTGTGGAGTAGAAAACTTGCTAGTATTTTGGTACATGGTTAGTTTGTGCGGAAAATGGAACGAAATTTTTTATTTTCGTCGATTACAATTCGGATGATTTGAATTTAGCTAGATCAATATTTTTCATTCCGAATTTCAAAAAAAATGATTTATGATTTTCCGAAATCGGCTATCCGCCTATTTAGGTTTTGTGCATGTCTTCGTAATTTACTACTCCCTCCGTTCCAATTTAAATGACGTTTTGGGTTGTTACACACATATTAAGAAAATCAATAAATGTGTATAGATTATAGTGAAAAACATAGGAAAATACTAATATATCCTTGACATTAATTATTTTACAACTAACAAAGTAGGAGTGATAAAGGGTAAAATTGAAAATAATGCAATTAATGATGCATTGAAAATCTAAAATGACAAATAATTTGGGACAAAAAAAACTCTCTAAAAAGACATATAATATCGGACAGAGGGAGTATATATTTATATTGATCTGGGTCAGTTTGGACACACATATAGACCAAGAAAACACACACATACAGACACACAATACACTCAACACGTTTCTATGGTGGCCAAACGAACCCCATCATATATTATACTCATTTGCAATATTGTTTCAATTCATTAGTATATATATATATATATATATATATATATATATATATATATATATATATATATATATATATATATATATATATATATATATA